GTAAGTACCGACGTGGTTCTTAAGTAGCAGTTGGTCGAGGAGGAGGTGGGGGAGGGATGGAAGGAGGGGTGGGGAAGGGTGGGTGGGGTGGGCGTTTCCTTAAGTGGCAGTTGGTCGAGGAGCAGGTGGGGTAGGGAGGGAAGGACGGGTGGGAGGGCTGGGAGGTGTGTGCGTTTCTTTAAGTAGCAGTTGGTCGAGGAGGAGGTGGGGGAGGGAGGAAAGGATGGGTTGAAGGGTGGGCGTTTCCATAAGTAGCAGTTGGTCGAGGAGGAGGTGGGGTAGGGAGGGAAGGACGGGTGGGAGGGCTGGGAGGGGTGGGCGTTTCTTTAAGTAGCAGTTGTTCGAGGAGGAGGTGGGGGAGGGGGATGAGAATGGGGCTCTTTCGAATGGCCTATCTTAAGTAACACTTCTTCAAGGAGCACTTTTACCCTTTTCTAAGTGACATTGCCGATAGACGTGAGCGAGAATTTCGAAATTATGCAGCCATTTAATTAACAGGTAGTAAATAAAGTAACACAGATGGTGATAAACAGGTGACAGATGAAAATAGAGTAATAATGCGAGTAACAGGTAACAGATAAATTAATAGAGGTAACAATAAACGAGTGACAGTAAAGTAACATTAAACAAGTAACAGTTAAGTAATGATAGTAATAGTAAGCAAATAAACAACAAAATGACACTAGGAGAAGAAAAAATAGGAACGCAGGAGGTGAGAAACAAGTAAAGTAAGACCAGTAACAGTGTCAAGTAACACCAAATTCTTCGCGAAAGAGTCCTTAGGAAACACGCGTGCGAATTGTACAAGGAACAGCTTAGGTCACGCATTTTAACCTGAGATGCGGGGAATTTAATGCTACGTTTGGTTGCCGGGGATTTTTTTCTTTATTTAGAAGGAAATATTTGTGTGTTGTGATGTGTTTGTTTTTATTAACTATTTTTTTGGTTTTGTGATATTATTATTGTTATTATTATTATTAAGAACTATTGTTTTTTTATTATTATTATTTTTTTATTACTGTTCTTGTTGCTTATATTATGATTATTATTATTACTGTCATCATTAGGAGGAAATAATAGCAAATTAGCCAGGCTTCAGTCCAGACAAAACGAAGAGACAAGACTGCAGGGAAGATGGTGCAAGCGGAGCAGTGGGCGGGGTCTCGCGTTTCTCTCTCACGAAGGGCGGCTGAGTGCAGCGGCGGGGAAGAGGAATTAGTTGGGGGGGATTCAAGGAGGAGGGTGAGGGTGGGGAGTGGGGGATATGGGGGAGGGGGGCAAGCATACGCATAGGCCTACATGCACACGCAGGCAACACTTACGTACGCATTCACGCACGCACACACACACACACACACACACACACACACACACACACACACACACACACACACACACACACACACACACACACACACACCACACACACACACACACACACACACACACACACACACACACACACACACACACACACACACACGCACAACACACACACACACACACACGCACACACACACACACACACACACACACACACACACACACACACACACACACACACACACACACACCCGCGCGCGCGCGCGCGTATTCTTACTGACTAAAAATGTTATATAAAAGTAAAAAAACATGTATATGCGAAATCCCTTCTGGCTTTCGTCTTAATGGAGTAGTTTTGATAATTCGGACCTTCGCATTTTTTTCGAATCTCGTATCGGTGTTTCGGACCTTCTGTGATTCGAGGTGGATTCGTGGCGTGACTCGGCGCCGTGCATGACTCCTGCTCCTTTTCGGCTCTCAGGCAGGGCTTGCGGCTGGGCGCGTGGTGATGTTTGTTACTGTTGCTGCATGATGATTGTGTTATTGCATGCTATTTTTCGAGGGGGAGCTGTGATGTTGATTTTGTGATATCGTCGAGTGTTATCTCTCTCGGTAGACTCGATTTTCCGTCATGCAGAAGAACCTTTGTTTTCGCCGTTATTTTATGCAATGGCATATTGCATTCGACAGAGCTCTCTTGTTGTTGCCATCGTTGCATGACCGACCGGCAGAATCCTCGCCTTTGCTGTTGTCATGACTGTGTGTGTGCTTTTGTGCATGGCGTCAGGCATTACTCTTGCTGCTGCTTTTGCTAGAGTTGCATGACCGTCCTACAACGCCTCTCTTCCGTAGTTGCCACGGCCGTTGCAGCGTCGTGCATGGCGGGCGCGTGCAGGTGCGGGAGGCCGAGACATCTGCCGGGTTTCTCTGACCGACGGCGAGGATTTGCAAGGCGATACGGCCACGTGACCCCCGCCGGCGTGCTGTCCTGGTCTCGTCTTTCTCTTCCCGCTGTTCTTCCTCTTTCGTTCGTTGGTTCTCTCCCGTCGTCTGTTCTCTGGTTTCGTGTCTGCTTATTTTCTCGGCATCTTTTTTTTGTGTATTCCTGTTTATCGTTTGTTGTCGTCGTTGCTGTTGTTGTTGATGTTGATGTTGTTGGCAGTAGTGGTTATACTTG